CACACACACACACACACACACACACACACACACACACACACACACACACACTCACTCACTCACTCACATATACTATATACACACACAGATACACATACACATAGGTCTATTTGTAACATAAATGTCTTTTCCATGCGAGGTCTAGCCAGTACGCACATGTTTTTTAATTGCACATTAAGTTAATAGTCTAAAAAATGACAGCACTATTCTGTGATTAAATTAGCTCTGGTAATGGATTTATGTCATAAATGAGTACATTGTTGTGATTATAGTATTGGCGCAGAGACCACTACAGGCCTGGCTAAAAGTTTCCATTGCATATCGGGAGTTTGAAAAATACCTGTGCACTACAGAAAGCACTGTCAGTACTATCGAAATAGTCCAAGAAGGCCACCCATTTTCAAAAAGAAAAGTGGTTGTCTTAGACATGTGGACATTTTGGACAGTATTTTTATATTATTGACAAAAATGCAAAGGGGGAATTGGGAAGTGGGGTTTTTTTTTGTAAAAGTGATCATCTTGGATAGGTGCCCTGTGCTGCTGGGCTAGCTTCTTGATATTATTCTTCTTCATCTTTCCACTTTTCTGAAAATTGATCTCTATGACTGCTCTCCAAGTTCCACAAGGCCTTCCTCTTAATCTTTTACCTATAGATTCCAATCCACCACTTTTTTTTGTTATGCAACTACCTGACTTCCTGAGAGTATATGGGTCACGACGTGGTGGAATGGAGGTGCTCGTCAATTTCTGGGCATATGGAGTTATTGATATCATCTTAAAGCTTGTTCATTTGTCTTGCTTTTGATTTTAAAAATTACCCATCCATCATGAGTATAAGTCAAGATTTTTACATTTAAAGAAGGTGAGGATTGCCTGGTTTCAGACGTAAAATTAATGAGAAAATGGCCACCAAAGTTTGGTGACTTCCAAAGCCTTGAGAGTCCTTGAAGAATGCAAGTTTACATTTTTTGTACCCTTCATCAACATTTTTCAGTAAAAGTGAAATCCATTGAGAAATATATTTTTAAATGGACATAAAATTCTTAAGGCAAAAAAAGAAAAATCTGAAAAAAAATTACCCTACGGCCAGAAAAATTACGGTTTCTTTGATTTAATTATTTTGACGAGCGCCTGCTTTCCCCACGGTGCCTCACGTATTGATTATTATACTGCGATAATTGTTGATCTGTTGTGTCCAATCTGCCAAAGTACTTTCCTACTTCAAGCTTCTGTGAGAACAATGAAGCAGCCTTTGCCTTTGACTACTCGGTGCTATATATATATGTACAATCAGTGCCATTTTTAACTATTTGTGACCAGTTTGATGCTTCTGTATAACAACATGTAGCCATTTTCTGTTTATGAATTGTTAAACGTTTTGTAAGTGTAGATTATGTTCTTATTTGTTTATAATTGTGTTCACTGGGAAATTGTTAGATTTGTGTCTGTTTTGTTTGATTTATTAGTTTCTGTGAATTTTCATGTGAATTCATCTTTTTGTGTGATTTTGTACATTCTTCTTTACTTTACTTGACTGTAGTGTTGGACTGTACATCCATAAATGTATTTAAATAGTTGCACGCACATAGAGAAATGCACACACAAGTTCTCACACTCACTCACTCAAAGCCTCACACATGCATAGTATATTGTGCGTTGTGTCCTTGGGAAAGGAACTTTATATAAATTTACCTCACTTCACCCTGGGTACCCAGCTATAGATAGTGAAAGATCTTGTCAGTATGTTAGTGTTTGAGCGCTCAGCTCCTTGCACCGTATACTTCCCAGGAAGCTTAGAATGTTTCTGAGTATTTTACGGTCTGCTGGGGTAATAATAATAATGTAAAGCATTTAGAGCTTGCTGTTGAGTGGGGATATGTGCTATATAAATTCTATAAATTATTTATTTATTATTACTTGTTACCGGTACCTGCCCAGCCCTACAGTTCAGTTCATACTTTGATGCTGTTGCTGTCGGTCCACATTGTGCCCAGCATTTTTCCCTTGTGTTTCCTTCAGAATGGTCTTGTGGCGTTTTACATGACCAAAGAACTTAGAATAACATATCTCCACCAAGTTTACCGTAATGTAGACAGAAGTACATACGTGTTCATGTATTTTGTTTGCCTATTTATATGACTTAGATTTGATGTTATTTTGAAATGTGACTTTTGCCCTGCTGAATTATTTACTCTTCATGCATGACAATATGTTTGATGTGCCATGCATGCCTGGGGGTGATGCTGTGTGTATATGAGTGAAAAAGTCTGTTTATCGACATGAGTGGAAATGTGTGTGTGTGTGTGTGTGTGTGTGTGCATGTTGTTATAAGTATTCATAAATGTATCTTAGTGTATGACTTTGTGTGTCTGTATATGGCTATTCATGTATGTGCAGGTAAATGTGTTGTGTGTGTGTGTGTGTGTGTGTGTGTGTGTGTGTGCATGTAGTTATAAGTATTCATAAATGTATCTTAGTGTATGACTTTGTGTGTCTGTATATGGCTATTCATGTATGTGCAGGTAAATGTGTTGTGTGTGTGTGTGTGTGTCGCTAAATGAATTTGTGTGTTTTGCAGTATATATTTTAAATATATAAGACAGTCCAAAAGAAACTCGAAAATTTACTCACCCATTCATGATTTTTAAGCCTTCACCGCCCACTCTTGCAGCGTACCAATTTGAAATTTAATGTTAAATAAATTTTGCATCATGTGACGCATTATTGTTACATCTGTGTTAGGTTTCTCGGCTCGCCACTTTCCTGCCTCAAAGCCGCACCTACTTTCCTAATTATCGAATCTGAAATCTCAGGCTGAAAAATTATCGTTTTCAGCAACATGTTGAGATAGGTCATTATTCCCCTTTGTTTCCATATATAATACATGTGGCTAATATTGAAAATTGAACTAAAAAATCTTTAATTTGATAAATTTGTCCGACGGTAGGCAAAATCAGAAAGTAGGTCACAGATAAGGCCCGGTGTAGGTGAGGAAAACCCCCTGGTAGTGAAAGAAGGGTGCACAGTTATGTTAGGGAGTCTGAAGTCACTCTAATTTAATTTTCAGTTTTT